TTTCAAAACTATGGTTGATGACGGATCAAGAATCTTTTTTCAAAATGTAGAGCCTAAAATTCTGCATTGATTAGTATATGTTTTAATTTTTTTAGTAAAACTTCTAGGCTAGGAAATACAAAACACTAAAAGTATCTTACAATTATGTCCATTGGAATAAAAATTCTTTTTGTATAACTCAATCAAAACATGATAGATGTGGACGATTTCTTCAGCTAACATAGTCTTCAACATCGTCTTTTTAAGAGCGAAAGAATCGAGTCTCTACCTTTAAACACTGCTGACGAGGGAACATTCTCAATTGTCACATCGCTTTTGAGTCGAGCATATGCGCATCATGTAGGCTCTAATAATCTATGAATATTCTTAAAATGGTTCGTGCCTCTAGCTTATTACTGCCGAGATATTGCATTTTTACTGTATGTTTAAGGGAAAAAGCCGTAGTCACCCTCAGGAACACTAGAGAAACTAAGTTTCGAATTTCGACTTGAAACTTTGCGTAGAAATAGGCCTCAGTAAGAATAGTTTATTGTGAAAGTTTAAGATCTTTTCGTTGTTCCTATCCTGAAGTACAGCTATAGTAAAATAGCTTATATATACCAGCAGATTCCGATGTTCTTATTTCAGACTAGAAGCAATCAAAAGATCTGAAACTTTCACACTAAACTATTCTCATCGAGACCCATCCCTGTACGAAGTTTCAAGTTGAAATTCGAAACTCAGTTTTTCTAGTATTCCTGAGGGGCCACGGTTTTTTGCTTATAAATACAGTAAAAATGCAATATCTCGGCAGTAATAAACTAGCAGCACGAACTTTTTTCAGAGTATTCATAGATTATTAGGGCCTACATGATGCGCATACGCTCGACTCAAAAGCGATGTGACAGTTGGAAATTCTTCCTCGTGAGTTATAGCAAAAACAAAAGTATCTTAAAATTATATCTACCACTCTGCATAGAGACGACGAAATCGTGCTTATCATATTCATTTATCCATCAATCATGGACAAAAGAAAATCGACAACAACCGCTGCTAGTAGATCAACAGCTACCAGCGCGATCGACAATACTGCTGTACCATCTCGCCATGTTCATCGAATCATACAAAGCTTCCTTCTCGTCTGGCTTGATGCTAATATGGACGAATCGAAGGAAAATTTTAAAAATTCATTAGCACGCCTACGGTATATTGTGGCATCGATCAGGACATTTACCAATGCTGAAGAATGCATTCAATCTATGAAGACCATTAAAGAAGAAAAAATGTTTTTGATTATTTCTGGTTCACTGGGACAACATATTGTACCGGAAATCGATTCATGGCCACAATTGGATACTATTTATGTATTTTGTGGCAATCGATCGGTCCATGAACAGTGGGCCAAAACGATGTCGAAGATAAGGGGTGTATACACTGATATTGATTCGATTTGTAAAGCATTAGAAATCGATAGTAAACGATGTGACCAAGCTATGATTTCGATGAGTTTTCGTGGCATTGATCCGTCATTTACGTACACGCAATTGTTTAAAGAAGTTTTTTTGGAAATTGATTATGACGAAACTACATCCATAACAGAGCTCGCTGAGTACTGTCGTCTTCAAGATGATATTCCTGAAGAGAAGATTGAAATGATTGAACGAGAATATCGCAATCATTCACCTATTTGGTGGTATACGGCCCCATATTTTATTTACTCGATGCTTAATCGAGGCCTTCGATTCTTGGATGTCAATATTATACTTAAATTGGGTTTTTTCATTCGACACTTACATCGATATATTGGAAAATTATATCGCGAACAACAATCCACAACGACAACAAAGACAACTCCTTTTCAAGTATTTAGAGGTCAAGGTTTATCTCTGCAAGACTTTGAAAAAATGAAGCAAACAAAAGGAGGATTTATGTCTTTTAACAATTTCCTTTTAACCAGTTGCGATCGTGAAATTTCGTTGAAAAACTTTGCACGCCCGGCAGCACTTACACCTAATTCAGTTGGCATACTCTTTGTTATGACCATTGATCCGATACTCTCCGCAACATCATCGACTCGTTTTGTCGACATCAGAAACGTCAGCTACTATAAAGATAAAGAGGAAGAAATTCTTTTCTCGACACATGCAATTTTTCGCATCGATAGAATTGAACAAGTCGAAGAGAAAAATACTGATCGTCTATGGCAAGTTAATCTCACACTCATGGATAACTACGCCAATGATTTAAATATGCTTACGACATACATACGCGAGGGAGCTAATTCGACAACAGGATGGTCTCGGCTAGGTGAAATACTTGTTGAAGTTGGAGAGTATGCAAAAGCAGAACAACTCTACCGGATCCTCCTCGAAAAGGCATCTTCCGATAAAGATAGAGTGGATTGCAACTTCCAACTTGGTAAGGTGTATAACAACATGGGCGAGTGCTCGAAAGCACTTCCATTTTACGAAAAAGCATGTCACATCTACGAAAAAATTGGCCCTCCGAACCATCCCGACTTAGCTTATTTCTACAACGGCATTGGTTTGGTGTATTATAATATGGGCGAGTACTCGAAAGCACTTTTATCACATGAACGAGCACTTGGTATCCGCCAAAACTCTCTCTCTCGTAACCATCCCGACCTAAGTACTTCCTATCACAGCATCGGTTTGGTGTATGATGACATGGGCGAATACTCAAAAGCGCTTTCATCTCATAAGAAAGCGCTTGATATCAGGAAGCAATCTCTTCCTGAGAATCATCCCGACTTCGTTGCTTCCTACAGTAACATCGGTAGTGTGTATTCTAACATGGGCAAGTACTCGAAAGCACTTTCATCATATAAACGAGCACTTGAAATCCATCAAAAATCTTTCCCTCCAAATCATCCTAACCTGGCTGTTTCCTACAACAATATCGGTTTGGTGTATGAAAAGATGGGCGAGCACTCGAGAGCCCTTTCATTTCACAAAAAAGCATTTGATATCTTGAAAAAATCTCATCCTGATAACCATCCCGACTTGGCTGCTTCCTACAGTAACATGGGTAATGTGTATTACAACATGAGCGCGCACTCGAAAGCACTTTCATTGTACGAAAGAGCACTTGATATCCGCCAAAGCACTCTCACTCCGAATCATCCCGACTTGGCTTCTTCCTACAGCAACATCGGTTCGGTGTATAGTGAGATAGGCGAGTACTCGAAAGCACTTGAATTTTATGAAAAAGCGCATGAGATCTTCGAAAAATCTCTTTCATTAACGCATCCGCAGGTTGTACTGTTGAAAAGAAACATTGAACTTGTGAAAAAGAAATTGTAATTTATCCATTTTCTTACTACAATAAATTTGGTTCGTTTCTTTTAGATTCATTACGAATTTTTTTCTATACAATATTTCTTTTCGTGCGCGCGACCACAGAGATTCTGGATTCCATTGGAATAGTACAGTGGACCATACCAACAATGGCCGGGCAACCATACATGAATGTATACCGTATGTACGAGCTGACAAAAAGAGATGTACGTGTATGCCAAAAGCCTCTTGATGCACTTCAGTACGTACCAAAAAGACGTTGAATTTCTCTAGCAGGACTACAAAGCTACTCCATGAGGTAGTATAAGAGGATAGGGACGAGAAGTGAAAAGAGTAGCGCAAAGGAAAAGAAGAGACGAAGGTAGCACAGCATGAGGACAAAAAAGGAAACCAAGGAAACTTAATGTAGGCACAACGCGATGCAACAATATTGTCGCACAAATGATATTATCTAGAAGCAGTACATATCATCCTACATATCTTTACACATTTCATTTTAGTTTCAACGTCAAAAAATAATTGAAATTAAACGATATGTGTGCAGACAAAATGGATCGAGAAACAAGACAGCAAAAAACCATATAGCTAATTCATAGTTCTTCATCGTGAGTATTTAAACAAGACAAAAAAGTAAAAACAAAATTTAAGAATGGCATGAGAAAATACATCCATTTTCTGAAAGAAGGAATTCTACGGCCTTAAATATTTTTAAATGCGTTCATTCTTTCTTGCTTCCTTGCCTTTTCTACAGCGACCACAACATAGGATGCGCTAGACCCGATAGGAAAAGCTTTTATTACTCATTGAAAATCTATGCCAAGAGTAATTTAGTATGGAAAATTCGAATCCGAGGCCAACTTCTGCTCCAATATTAATATCTCATATTTCATAATTTTCACATGTTTTTTTGGAAAAACTGGACAAAAGCTTTTTAAACATGAACAATTCAAATTCGAGATCAGTATTGTTCTACTATTAATATACGTAAGATTTAGAAATAGAAGATGTCGTCTAGGATTGCGTTCTGACATTTTTCAGGCTCGTACACGTAGCCGCCTCTTCTACTCAGGCTGTGCTCAAGTAGCAGTCTAGTTCCTTTGTCTGTTCTTTTTTTGTTATTTATTTGAATATTATGATATTTGTTAGAAATAAAAAAAATAAAAATGTACGACATGTTTTGATACAAGAATTTTAAAAAAATTCACGACATTGACTTTTTCCTATATTGCACCGAATTTCATTTGTCCCATGCCGAAAAGTTTCCAAAGGAATCCCGATTGTCTCGCAGAGCAGAACAAACGGGATTTGGGACTGTCCCGCAGGACTCTAATTATTCCACACAAGCAAGACTTTGTAATATTTCAAACACTTGGTTTCCATCAAATACTTTCGTAAGAATAGTTTAGATAATACTCATAATTTTTACATTTTGTCAAGTCTTTTATTCACTTGACCAAATCTAATATGTACATAATTTCTCTTTTTCCTATGATAATAAAAATTTTATATTGTAAGCACAGACATTGTCAAATATCCTGAATAAAGCGATTTGCTTGACAAATGAAAGCATGCGATCCAATAAAAAGCAAATGACAAGATAATTTCTTGAGACAAAACTATATGTATGAATATGAAATCTTATTTGATTTCGCTATTTTCTTTTTTTTCCGTTTATTTTTATGAATAAAGAAAACGAAAATCTATTTATGTTGATGTTAATTTTTCATTGAGTACTAATTGTGCCTTAACTGCTTGTGAAAGATATTGAATCATAAGAAGATCCTAGAAAAAAGGAAAAATTTCATTTATAAAATACAAAAAAGAAAAATCATTAATCATACGTTCATGCTTGTATTAACCATGTTTTCAAGATCTTTAGCATCAACCCGTGGTACGGTATTTATTAAAGTCATTAACATACGACCAATTTTTGGATCGGATGGTTTTTTACCTGACTATATTTTAAAAGAAAGAAAAAGGGATTAAGTTTTCTTGAATAATAACAAAATACAAACTATAATATCATCAACATATGTTGTTAAATGTTTAAGCATAAATAAAAGTTTGTCCAAAGCAACTTGAACTTGATCAAGTTCACCAGGTGGCTTAACTTGAAAATTTTTACTAAACTTTCCAGCTTGAAATAGATCGACTACATAAAAGAAAAGATTTCTTTTTAATAAATGAAGAAAAGAAAACGAAAAAATTTGAAATTGTTTTTTTTACTTGCTGCTTTTTCTTCATCATAAGTAACAATACGAACAGGTATTGGTGTAAATATAGTTCCATGTGGTTTTAATTTATCTTTATCTTTAACACCAAAAGGAGCTCTGTAAAATCAAAGAATGATAATTATTATTTTTTAAATGATTTGATTAATATACCCCATATATGCTTTTATTTGAAAACTTGAATCATTTTTTAAACTTGTATCAAGAAGTATATATACTGGATTTCGTGTTTCATGTGTATAAAATTCATGAATTAAATTTGCACCTGATATCATATCGGAACCTGTTGAATACCTAAATTGTTTTGAAAAACAAAAAAAAAATTAAACGAAATAAAAAATAATAATAATTTACCATCCGACAGTTGTTTGAGTCGAATTCACTTTTCGATAAAAACTTGCCATTGTTGATGCATAATCGACATTATAAAGAGCCTAAAAATAATTTTTTTTAAAATCATTTTAATTTTTATGTCCAATATAAATGGAAAAATTAAAATATAGACGAGCTTTATTCTATTCAAAAAAATGATTTGTAGTCAAGTTTACATAAGCCTGCAAGTATAATGAATTAAATAATTCAGCTCTTTATTAAAAAATAAAAAACGTTGTTTTTGTTTTTGTAAACGGTAATAAGACTTTATCAGTGAATTTAACATTTCAAAAATAAACTAGTATATATGATATCGATTTTGTCTTTTCAATACTATTGTCGGAATCACTTTCTCTATATAGTTTAAGGTCCTCCTCAACAATCGATCTTGGGCGAGATGAATTTAAATCACATCAAATTTTCAGCGCTATATTATGATGTTTTCGGTAGATATGCAACAAATAAGAGTCAAAAATAGCTTATTTCGCAATCCAAAATTCTTTGTGAGCACTCATTCTATTTTATTTGAAATGGTATATCAGACTGCAGTATCCTTTTTTTAAAATTTCTACTCTTTATTCGGAGAAAAAAGGTTGACAAGTTCAATACCTAAAAAAATAGTCGTCTATTTATAGAAAGGCTTTTAAATTAATAACAGAAAACGGGCACTGTTGCTTCACACGATCTTTCAGACAGGGAAAAGCAATTGACTACAATGAAGCTCTTTTTGAGAATTCTTGGATGAATGATCAGAAAAGCATAAACAGAAGAGTATGTTCATTTGCACAGTGGGAAACTCTGTTTCGAGAAGAGCCCGTCGGGTTCAAAAATGTTGAATCCGACCGGCTCTAGTCATCTGACACATAAGTAGGATGCACTAACCACTGAATACAACAAAACCAGGAATAAGTAACTCGTCTCTTCGGGACGACTATTCAAAATTTCATTGAAAGTATCAAAGCACGGTTCGACCGTGTGTGAAAATTTTGCACCCGACGGGTCTCTAAGCTCGGAGATTATCTGAATAATAAAAAAAGTGTTATTTTCAAAAAGTACATGAAATTTAAATGATCTATGTTTACAATTTATATTGGAGAATTTCTTTGTTAATATTATAACTTTTAAAGAGCATCTTTTTCTTTTTATTCATAATAAACTTATTTACATCACTATGTGTTGAATGTGGTACAACAAAACTGTCGACAACTTCGATTGAATCAGCTGTACGTGTACCTAAATTAAAAATAAAATAATTTAATAATTAATTTTTAATCAAAATTTCACTTCATTTACCTAATAAAGTTCCAAGAATGGTATCAAATTTTTCACTTCGACGTTCATAAGCATGAACAATATTGAACAAAGCCACGGGATGAATGTTCACTTCAAAATTATTACTAGACAATGTTAATGCCATCTAAAAAATAAAAACAAAATATAAACATTAACTGAGAAAATAAATTTAACAAAATATTTTTTTATTCGTCATTCCAGTTATTCGACAATATTCTGGATGATAAATTCCTAATACAGGCATTTTATCAGCACAAGCTATAGAACATTTTGTTAATGTATGTACAAAACGTTCTGGTATAGGACATCGTAAACGATTTAATAATTGACTAGATTTTAAATCCCATATATTTAAAATATGATATTGAGAACAAGCAGCAATAAAATTTTCTGTATTAATATCAATTGAAAATGAAAAATGAGGATTATTTGATGATGATGATGATGATGATGATGATGGTGATGATGATGATGACATATCATAAATAAGTAAAGGTTTTGTTGGCATACGTAAATCAATAAGATTAATTCGTTCATCAAATGAACTTGTTAAAATACAATTAAATTTTGTTTGTAAACATTTAATTGTTGAACAAAGTATTGGAATTCTTAATGAACATAAACGATTTGATTGTCGAATATCCCATTGTTGAAATAAATGTCCATTTGTTGTATAAATTATATTTGAATTATCATTTGAAAATTTTATATCGTTTAATGTAACACGACGTATTGGTACACGTAATGATAAAACTTTTTGAAATGTTTCAAGATTATAAATATATAAATAATTATTAATATTAAATGCAAAATGATCAAATGATTTCGAATAACAACATGGACCAGAACATTTTATCATTAATGGTGATGTATGAGTAATTAACGACGATGATAATTCTATAGTTTGACATTTTTCTTCATAGTAATATTTTGGTGCTAATGAATTATTTGATAACATATTTAATGAATGATGAGATGATAAAGATGAAAATTGAAGAAAACGAATAATAACGTGATTTTCATCGTTTAATAATGTTGTTGACATTAAAGATGATGATGAATCAATGAAATATGATGAGCGATAACCATCAATTGAATTTGGTTGTAATTGATATGAATATATTGGATATTCTAATAAATGTAAATATAATCTATAATCAATTAATTGAATACATTGACCAGTTGATGTTATTGTCATTTCATAATTGACATTAGATTCTGAATGAATTGGAAGTGAAAATGATAAAGAATTATCAAGAAAACATGTTGATGGAAGATTTTTGAAAAAATTCGAACGAATATTATCATGACAAAATTCTGAATAAAATAAAATAAGATTTTTCTTTCAGTTGATTTATATTAATCTTACCACTTGATGTTTGACCATATTCTCGTTGACGAAGTAAAAATAAACGAGATTTATTTAATCGTCTTTTTTCTTTATGTCGTTGAGAAATTTTTTTTGAAGATCTTAATAAATCAAGTTGTTTAGAAATAAGTTGTTCTTGTCGAGCTCGATCATTAATAAGACGAGCACTAGGAACAGCATTTGATGATTGAGGTAATATACGATAATAACGTTGTTGAATTGCATCAAAATAAAAACCAGGAATGTCTGAAGACATAAGGAATTTTTTTTATACTACAAAATGCACTTGAATAGGGTTTTTTTTTAATTGTGAAAACTTACGAAATATGGAAAATGGTCTCTTGTTGGAGAATAGAAGAGGATTGAGTAATTAATGGACTTTACCAATCATCGTGGATAGATGGCGCTAGATTTCATGAAAGCAAATAAATAAAAATCTGTGAGATGGACATCATAGATGTTCATCGCGGCTTAGGATCTGCCGCTGTTCTAGGAGAGAGAAGACTTTCGCACCACTGTCGCGCGGTCACGGACATCTCTGATGGACACACGATCTAAATATAAAATCGGATTCAATGTTTTAAGTGTCTATCAAACTGAGATTTTATGCGTCCGTTTTTATGTAACTCTCCCCCATTGAGTTGTCTATGACACTGTTTCAAGCCTTCTCATTGTAGAATAATTTGGATTGTAGACTTCTGCCAAATTCAAATGATTTGGAGGATAAGTCTTCTCGTAGATTTCGAGGGCTTTTTCAAACATGAAAATTATTGTTGGGTGTTCGTTCATCCTATACTAAACTGTAGCGATGTTATTTTAGGAAATAACCAACTCAGAGTGCTATGAGTTTTTTCAGAATAAGTTTAATATTTAAACTTTTGCAATTCAAGATAGTTTTCAACAGTAGTTACACTCATGAAGAAACCATTCCGAATCTCCCCTTTCGATTTCAATGATTTTTTGTCTATAGATACTACATAGTGTTATAATAAAAAAAATCTAAAAGGATCTTGGTTCCTATTGAGATTTGACTAACCTATCGATTTTTTTCTAGAAGTCTCAGGTTTTCCGAAAATTCATATTTTCGAATTTTGATCTGAAACTTTGCTCATATAGAGAACTCAACTAAACTAGCTTCCATAAAAAATTCAAAACTTTTGAACAAAGTCTCTTCGAGATTTGAGACGTTCAAGATATAGATCCTTTTCCATGGCTAGTGTATACAACATGCATTTTTTGAAAGCTTCACATCTCGAAGAGACTGTGTTGAAAATTTCTAAAGTTTTTTTTTATCGAGGATAGTTTAGTTGAGTTCTCCATATGCGCAAAGTTTCAGATCAAAATTCAAAAATACGAGTCTTTCGAAAATCTAGGCCTCTAGAAAAAAAACTCAATAACTTAGTCAAATCTCAATGAGTAACCAAATCCTTATAGAGTTTTTATTAGAACACTATGCAGTGTCTATATGCAAAAAAAATCATTGAAATCGAAAGCACTCGTACTCATCACTTGAATGTCTATTGCAAATAATTTTAACATCGTGTGAACTACATATATGAATGTGTTCAAACGTTCCATTCGTTTTGGTTCATGTTGATATTCGAATATATCATTGAATGATCTGTAGTAAGCTTAACAACACTCCTCTATAGACAAATTTTACAAAATTTTATTATATGCTAGTAGTTACTGACGTTTATTTCATGAATTTATTGATTCGATAGAAGCAATAAACAACAATCGGTCAAAAGAAGATACAAAGATTAATATATTCTTAATGTTTTTATTTAATCATTCAAATAGATTCGTCTTATAAATTCGATTAATTGAAAATTTCATTAAAATAATAGTAAAATACTTCCATTTTATTGATGTCTATAAGTCAATAATATATGTCAAAAAATTTAAATATATGAAGGCATATCTGTTGGTAAAAGTGATAAAGAATTTTTTATAAATGGATATGTACCATTATTACAAAATGCTCCATTAAAATCATCCATATCAACTAAAGAAAACAAAAGAATTAAATAAAATTTTTATTCTCAAAAAAAAAACAACTACATACGTGACCAAACAAATAATCCTCCGAAATTATTAGCTACAACATAAGCTGCTCGTTTTTGTATATTTTCAATTGTATCATATGAAATCCAATCACGATCTTTAAACATATAACTAGATTCTGATCCATCTGGTACTGAACGTATTTTCCATTGAGGATCTGTTTGTAGTAGACAAACCTTTATATATAAAACTATATAAAAATTAATTCTTTAAGATAAATTTACTTCAAAATACGATAAAAACCCAACACTACGTGTAAATGGACCTTCTGTTCCATTACCAATTGTTGGTGATCGAAGTTCATGTTCATCTGCTCGTGCTAATAAAAATGTTCGAGCAAATAATGGAATACCAAGAACAAGTTTATGAGCTGGTGCTCCATTCTTTAACCAAATAGCCATACCAAAATCCTTCAAAATATTATAACTATCAATACAAACAGAATAGATACTAATTTACTTGATTCATCATTGCTTCCTTTTCGATTTCATCAAAACGTCTATATAATGGAGCATTTAATCCTGTATGATTTTGCCATGCTCCATGAAAATCACTAGAATAATCTCTTTTATTTAGAAATTATGCTACATATAGGATGGTCCATAAGTAACTGTACGATAAAAAACTTGAGTATCTTTACTCTATGGGGCTATTTTTGTTTTGTGGTAGAGAAGACTTCAGATGTTTTTTTGTTTTCATAAGAACTACATTTATACATATTGCTTTGAAGTATGATCATTGGTTTCAATAATGAATTTCGATCTTTGACAATGTCTTTCTCTCGCCATCAATATTTCTTAAGTCAGTAGTCGAAAAAAGTTCCGCTACAGAGGTAGAAAGTATTTAAACTTTAATCGTTTAGTTTCATAGTTTGACCATAAATAGAGCATCTTGAACTCTGATTACAAGAACCAATCAGGACTTGATTAACCTTCATGCAGAGAAGCTAGAAGACCAACACAGGCTTTTTCTTCAGACAAGGATATCTCAACAGAGAAAATAAATCTCATGACATTAGATCTCTCATTCGATAGCTCAGTGCTCTCTCTAGCACCAATAAAAATTCCATCTGAAGTAGTTTTTAGTTTGGCCGATTTATGAAGTATTCTTTGAGAAATCTCCACATGAGAGTTGATGGGAGTCGTCAAAATGTGAGTCATATCTCTAGCTAATTTTAACCTTTTGTCTTGCAATTTTCTCTAGTGAGTACCCTACACTAATCAAGTTTTGTTTCAAAATTTCACAATCGCAACCATTGATGGAGAAGAGATCCATGCTGAGACCGTCTCAGACAATGGAGGCTTCCTCGTGCCTCAAGATTACAGCAGCTTGAAGTGCCGTACCTGTGACATAATATGAATATGCGAACCTTTATTTGTTAATGAGAAAATGGAGACTATCGCATTTGAAATAGTGGAAAACCAGTGTTTTCATCATGAATCCTTTGCATTAAGCCTTATTGACCTCGGGTTGCTGCTTACAACCAAGGTTTATTGAACTCTATTAGTAATCAAAATCTCAGGCAAAGGAGATACTTTTTACATGGTAGTGGGACTTCTTGCGACTATTGTACAATGAAGTGAAAGCGAGAATTAATTTGGCTATCTTTGCTAGTTTTCATTTTTATAAATCTTTCAAAAAACTATACGTATCATGACCTGTATGATCTGAAAGTTGTAATGAAAAAAAAAAAATATTAGCTCAATAGAGTGAAATAAAGTGAAAATATTCAAATTTGTCATTGTAAAGCTACTTATAGACCACCTTGTATATATATTTATTAACTTACTAAGTCATAATATTAATAAAATCTAAAATTCTGAATATAAAAAGAAAAATATTAAGCGAGTAAAATTTAAAAAGTTTTTTTTTTCTACTTTGCAATTTTATCGATTTCATAACCATTGGAAATAATATCTTCATTAGCAGCTACAGCTGCTGCTATTAATAATCGTGGTTGACCTGTAACAATCGATTGTGCCATTGCAGCTTCTTTAAAATCCTATGAAATATACACATATATATATATCGGGTGGCCCAAAAGTAAGGAAAAATAATGGGTATCCCATAATAACTGATGAAAAACTGTTAATGATATTTTTCATACTTTTTATTGATGTAAAGAGCTGAAATTTTTATTACATATATATCTAATTAACACCTTTTATTTCTGAAAGTTTTAGCTCTCTACATCAATAAAAAGTATGAAAAATATCATTAACAGTTTTTCATCAGTTATTATTAGATACCCATTATTTTTTCTTACTTTTGGGCCACCCGGTATATATATATATATGGGGTTGGATAGTCTGGCCGGATGTCCCATTAATATTTTTTTGTATTGTAAGGATAAAACATATTGTTGTTCGGGTCATATGAGAGAGGATCATAGATAACCCTGAATTGGCCCGAACAACACCATGTTTCATCCTTACAATAGTAGAGAAAAGTTACTAGCTCGCACGATAAGCTGGTACCTGTTCTCTACTACTGTAAGGATAAAACACGGTGTTGTTCGGGCCAATTCAGGGTTATCTATGATCCTCTCTCATATGACACGAACAACAATATGTTTTATCCTTACAACACAAAAAAATATTAATGGAACATCCGGCCAGACTATCCAACCCCATATACATATATATCATAATTATTTGAATTTTAAATAAATTCTCTTACTTGAAAAAATAATGTTAAATAATATTTATCATCTGATTGTCCACCACGTATACCCGGATATTCCCAATCAGCTTCCAAACCATCAAAATTATGTTTATGAAGAAAACTATGAATGAAAAAAAAAAGCAATGTTCAAATTAATTTGAATTTTTTTTGTTTTTATTAATGATGTACTTAATCGTATTAAAAATAAAATTTCGTCGTTTTTCATCATCATGAACCATGATTGAAAATGCATATGATTTCATATTCCATCCACCAACGCCTAATAATGTTTTTAATTTTGGATTACGTTGTTTAAGTTTATTTATACGTCGATAGAGATCTAGTTTTAACGTAAAAAAAAAGGAAGTTTTTCCTATATGAATATACGTATATTACAAGCAAACCTTCATCATTTTCTTCTACTGTTTCTATTAAAAATGTTTCATTGTTTATATAAGCAAAAGCATAAATAATATGTGTACAAAGAAATGGATCAATATGTTCAGGTTCAAATTTAGCTGGAATAGTTCGATATTGAGACCAATTAGTAAAATAACAAATTTTCTTGTATTTTAGTTCATCTGTAATTAAAAAAAACCAAGTTGATTGTTGTTAATCACAGGAAGATTATTTTATTCTATCTATTTTCGGACACACAGATATGGTTTAGATGGAAAAAAACGTGAACGAGTTTGTAGTCGAGGATAAATTATATTTACCTTCACTAACAGGTGTAGGATAAGGATGTTTATAAGAGAAATAATTTAATTTTGAATTGATTGATGATTGTTGTTCAAAAATTGATTTATCATTTAATTTCATAAGTGGATAACCATTTGCCCAAAAAACACCTCCTTCATGTACGACTTCCTATTGAAAAAATAATATATATAAATATATTTTAATTTGATTAATTATTTACTTCATTGAAAATTTTTTTTGTCGAAAATGGTTTCATTGTAGTTGTCTGTTGTTCTTCTTCAAACATTGGTTTAGATAAAATAAAATTTGAAATTTGTTGAAATAGAATATCATCTATTGATGATAACGAAGCAATTTGATCGAAAGTATTTTTTATAGGAACTTTCATTGAACATTGTTGTAATGTTTCATCAAATATAAATTGATCTGGACATTGATATAAAGACCAACTATTAAGACCAATATAACCAAGAACACATGGATAATACTGTGATGGATTATTATGATAAACACATAGACGAGGAGATTCTTTTATAGAAATTAAAAATTTAAATTAAAAAAGTTTTTAACATTTAAATTTCCTTACTTGAATATTGTTGAGCAATTAAAAAATTAGATAATACATATGAAAAGTAAAAATAGAGAACAAATGTTGAGCATGGAAGAATCATTTTTTTCTTTTTGTTATATTAAGTTCGAATAAATACATATATTTATACTGCTATGAATTGATATAGATACTTTTTATGACCAAACAAAATGATATACTATTTCTCTTCTTCTTTCTCTATATCCTTTGCCTTTTTTTAACGAGTTTTTTGATTACGTCATGTAGTGTATTGACAGATCGTATTTAAAAATGATAACTAGGATCAATAGAATATTTAAAAAGGTGTATATCTATCTTTGTTTCGCAACATCTAAAAAATCACATTGTTCATTTGTTTATCTGTGATGAACATTTACTAGATGAATGTTCAATTATAAATAGCATATCTACAACCAAGGTTATTACTATTATTCAAATAGAATGATCCATTCGTAACTTATCTCATATTTCTTATTGTTTCGATTAGGATCAAATTCCTTCTTTCTTTTTTTTTTTTTTTTTTGATGTCAATGGACATTTGTTTTATGGATACGTAGGTAGCTATAGTTCAGTTGAATAGTTAGATTTTGTCCAACTTGTTCTCAATAGGTTGTATGTATGTTTGTGTAAGTATATGACATTTGATGTTCAATGGTATGTACCAGATATGTATGCATAGTTTAAGCTGTTGACAAGCGGATCTCTTGTTGGTCTCGCACGGAGAATAGAATTGTTTGATTAGTGAGCAATTCTTTTGTTTCTTTCAACAATCACACACACTAAAGATACTTAGTTTATAGTGTATCGTGTCTGCTATTGATCAACTTTGTTGTCGTTTATATATGTTCTTATTTATAGCGAAGCTTTGAAAAGGAAAAAATTTAAATATGCATCAATATTATTCATTGTTATCATTGATATATCACTTAACATTCATCCTACTTATTATCATTATAGGTCAAATAAATGATGTTCATGCAAATCGAATAAGTATGTTTAAGAATTTAATGATTAAGTAGGAAGATTGTATTAAGACGATTGAGAATCGTTCAAAAAAATTTGTTTTTTTTTTTTTTACCTTTTTTTCTTCTTTAAATAAATGAAATTCTATTTAGATTTAAAACAATCTTATTGTCGAGATCTTCGTGACTGTCAAACATATTTTCCTTGTGCAGTTTTTTCAAGTGGTTTTAGTTATTTATATGTTATTAAACGTTGTCTAAATGAACAAATTTTTGATGAAACAAAACAAAAATGTATTAAAAATACATTTACTGATCCTACATGTTCAAAACAAACTTCTATTGGAAAATCTCGATTAACAACAATACGTCCTAAACAAATAAATCGAAATAATGATACTAGACATCGAAATATAAAAGTTCCACTTCGTCCACCATCGATGAATATTTTAAAACGAAAAAATTTTGATATTAATGAAATCGAAGAAAGAAATCTACATGAAGAAAGATCTGAACAATTAATAACAGAATCTCCACAAATTCCAATAAAACAAATTAATGATAATACAAACATACATCGTGTATGTTATATTACAAATTGGTCACGATATCGAACTGGTGAAGCTAAATTTGAAATTGAATATATTGATCCATTTATGTGTACACATATTATTTATGCTTATGCAACTGTTGATGATCATAAACCAGAAATTAAACCTATACAAAAAGAAGATATTGGTAAATATTTTATTCATTGAATAATTATGTTTTATTTTATTTAATTATTTTTTTTTTGGTCTAGAACATTATCGAGAACTTGCTTTATTAAAAAAAACAAATCCAGATTTAAAACTTTCAATTCGATTAGGTGGAAAAAGTACTCAATATACTCGATATCTTAAATCATCAAAAATGACTGCACAATTAGTTCGAAGTCTTATTTGGTAGATTTTTTTCTTTATTATTTTTCAATCATATTATAAAATAGAATCTATTTTTATCAAAAAAAAAAAACAAAAACTAGGTATATGGCATCATATGGTTTTGATGGAGTTGATATAGCTTTTGAATTTTCTGATGATGAAGTTCCAGAAGATAAAGTTGCATTAACTACATTACTTGAAGTTTGTCTAAAAAATTTCGTTAAGATAAAAAAAAGAAATTTCTTTTTTTAGGAAATTTCAAAACAAAAACGATTAATGACACGTGTAATAGTTACATTAACAGTAGCACCATTTGTTGATCATCTTCTTAAAGTATATGAAGTTCAAAAAATTGAAAAGTAATTTATTTATATTTCAAACAAAACAATTTTCTGTGTTTTATTAGATTAGTTAATTATATCAATCTAATGACATTTGATTTTTATGGTATATATATATAAAGAATATGATCAACAATAGTATAATTATTTGATTTCTTTAGGTCCATGGGATGACAAAACAGGTGCATTTGCTCCATTATATCATCAATCATATCAAGTTGAATCAGAATCACTTCGTAATGTAGTAAGTAAAGAAATGTATATTTGTTTTTGTGAAACGCAGTCTAACAGGAGTGTTGAAGTATAGAAGTAGAAAGGACACCGCTGAATAAGATCGTGAATCTGTCGTTCCATTATATCCCATTTTCAATAGAATGGAAAGGTATTCGTAGTTTTTTATGCTCTACAAATTGACATAGTGATCATATGTACCATTAACTTCTTTCTTAGATTATGTAGGATCATACAACTGCGATATTGTGCCTGTCTGACCCTGAATAAACTAATAGATGGACATAAACGCTATATCATTTTGTAGAGCATGAAAAACTATGCCGATCTACGCTATTAGTTTTCATATTGAGTTCGCAAAAGAAAAAATTATGCCTACCATAGTTATTATTAAAAGCACACAAAGTCAACAGATCCTCTAAGACTATTTAGTCCTCTAAAATTTTTTTTTTTCATTCAACACAAAAAGAAATGAATACACAGAAACATGCAAAGTTTCATATTCTCTCTTTTTAACCTATTGAAAGTAAAACTTAGACAGTGTTGATATACGATCAAAAACCGTGTATGAATAACATCTCGTTACTTTCTTATTGACATCTGAAGGGTTGAGAAAAAGGATGCTGAAAAAATATGTCTCAAAATAGATAGAATACAACAATCTTCCTATGATTAGCAACAACAGCTACAAAGTGTTTCACCTTTTAATTTTGCGGGATTGCACTAACAGCTTTTTTCTTTCTTTGATTAAATTATTTGATTATCATAGGATGGTCTTGTTAAATTATGGTTAAGTCTTGGCGTACCCAGACAAAAACTTCTTATCGGTATTCCAGCTTATGGTCGTTCATTTACATTAGCTAGTAGACAAAAAGGTCTTCATGTACCTGGTTTGTTTTGTTGTTTATTTTAGTTTTAACATTATTGTATTATGTTTTTTTTTCTCTAGTCACTGGTCCAGGTTTTCCTGGTCGATATACAAAAACTCGCGGTTTTCTTGCTTATTATGAGGTTAAAATATAGTTTTCTTTTTATCGTTTAAAACTTATTGATTTGATTCTTTATTAGTAGATATGCGAAAAAGGACGTTCTAAAAGTTGGCAAAAAGTATGGTTAGATACTGAGAAAGCTTGGTATATGACCAGTGGTGATCAATGGATTAGTTATGAAGATACTGATTCAGCAACAATAAAAGTAAGTTTACAAAAAACGATAGAGTTTTTTTTTTAGTTTGATTGAATATGTGTTTTAATAGGCTCAATACGCAAAAGGAGAACAATTAGCTGGAGTATTTATATGGAGTATTGATAATGATGGTAAATGATGATGTAATATTAAACATAATTTACTCGATTGTTTTTTTCCTATAGAATTTTCCGGTTTCTTTTGTAATACAGAACCATTTCCAATAACTCGACAAGTCTTTGCTACTCTTAATTTACCTGTACCGATAACTAGTGCACCAGCAATTGCTATTCAACCACGTCTACCAGCTGCTGCTGGTGCTGGTCCACCTGTTCGTTTTGTTAATGTTCAATCTCAACCATCATCAATATTACCTCCACATTTACAAAAATTATTAAATGCTTTGAGTGTTTTATCAGGTACAACAAGTTATACACCTATAATTGAAGCTACACCACCACCACCAGCACCAATAGCACATCAAACATATAATGCTGAATATATATGTAGTCGTCATCGTATGGGTCGTAATGGAATTCATCGTGATCGTAAAAATTGTTCAATATTTTATTTTTGTGAAGGTGATGATTTAGCATCATTACGATATCATATATTTTTTTGTCCGCCTGGACTTGAATTTTCAATGGATGGTTGTACATGTGATTGGCCAACAGGTCGTCCATGTCAAACAGGTGGTGATACATTTTGTGTCACACATGCAATTGTAACAACAACAACGACAACAACAACAACAACAATGACACCATATATTCCTCAAGCAGCTCTAAATACATTAAATAGTTTAGGTCAATTATTAGGTATATCAAGTGGTACAACATCAGCATTTGATTGTGTTGGTCGACAATCTGGTCTATATCGAGATATGTATGATTGTACAATATTTTATTTTTGTACAACAAATGATCAAACACCATATGGAACATTATTACGTTATGATTTTATTTGTCCAACTAATTATATATTTAGTATGTTAACATGTCGATGTGAACGTGGACAAACTTATGAATGTCGTACACTTACAAAAACTGATTGTCTTCTTTTGTAAATAATTTAAATTTTTTTTTTTTTCAAAAAGTAAAGAAAAATAATTAAGTTCACACATGTCAATGACAATAAACAGAGACATACATTTTCTTTCTTTTTTTTATATTTGATCTTTTTCAAACCAGTCATATCTAATATACATATGCACTTTTCAACATCATTTACATTGTGATGGAGATATAATTGATGCTTTTTAATATTGTCGTTTGTCGCCGTTGTTGCTACGGTTTCGGTTCAATGCACATTACGACATGACGATCATGACCTTTAAAAAATATGTGTATGTTCATCTCGATTACTGAGCGTTCACCGTGTCCATTATCATATGCCTACATATATGTATATATGCATATATGTGTGAGAAAAAAAAATACC